AGGGAAAGGAAAAATGATGAGAAATGGAAAAAATGGAAACAAAGTCTTTGTAAATAGGGAAGCAAGGAGGGGTTGAAGGCAGGGCTTGCAATGGGGCAAAAATAAGAACCAAGATGCATCATGTAAAGGTACAAGTTCCCAATGAGAAATGTAAATGTCTTGTATACCTAAAATGTACCAATAAAAGAATTAAAAAAAAAAAAAAACTAAGTGGAATGTGGCATTCTGGTTGCATCCAGGGGAGAAAAAGAAGATTCAGGGAAAACTGAATTAAGTATGGACCATAGTAAATCGTATGTGTTAATATTGGTTCACTAATTGTAATAAACATACTATTTATAAATGTCTACAATAAAGGAAATTAAGTGGGGATATAAATAGGTACTCTCCACTCTATTTTCACAAATTCTCTGTAAATCTAAAAAATGTTCTTGAGACTAAAGTATATTCAAAGTTGAAAAAATGACAAACCCATCTGTACATTGCCAAGTCTGTACAGAACAAGTTAAAAGAATACACTAAAAATTAGAAAAACATCAGGAAAAAGAAATCTAAAATGCAACTTTTCCTTTTTGCTAAAAGATTATTCCTTTGTTTCTTCTTGTAACACCTGTAGAGTTTTATAAGACAACCAAGAAGACTATCAAGACTTCATAAAGCAATCACTTCTATAAAAATTTTAAAAATTCAACCATAATAACATAAATGGTTATTGACTATGTTCTAGATCTGTAAGTGGCTCATCATTGTTCTTAGAAATAGATTGCTACTTATATTTTAAATAAATGTCATTAGCTTTGAAAGTCAGTCCTCAAAACACTGAGAGTGAAATTGTCATTATACCAATTTTACCCCTAAACTTTTTGGATTGATTTTCCATTAACTGTGTTTCTGTGATGAATAGGAAAATATTATTTTTCCTAATGTTGCCCTTAAGTAGAATTGTTTAATGATGGTACTGATTAAAAGACAATGCAGGAAGAGCCAAAGTTACCAAGTACCTGTATGCCAGTCACTGTTTTAACAGCAGATAACTGAAGACACTGGGGCTGCCATAACTAAAGGGATTTATTTAATACCAGAAATAAGGTGCTCCTAAAATTGCTAGATGGCCATGAAGAACCTCCCTTGGGCCGAGCCTCTGGGAATGATGTCCAGTTCATCACAACAAAACTGGTTTAACCAAGGAAACAGTTAGTTGGGCTGCATCCAGAAATGGAGAATTGAAGGCAGTGGCTCAGCTCAGTCCCAGGGATCAGGAAGCTGCTGCTGGAAGTGCAGGCTCCTGGGTCAGGCTCTGCCCCAGGAGAATGCACGACCCAGCCAGGCCCTTTCTCTCCCCCTCCTAACCCTTCTCTGCTTTCAGGTTATCAAGGACATCCAATTGACTGAACTTTTATTACATCTGGGGCATCTGTTCCAAAGGAAGTCTGAGAAATGTACTTTCAAGCTTTCTCATCTCTGCCATACACAAGGCACATGAAGGTGGATGGAAGAAGCATTGAGTCAGTTGATATAGCCTACCTATTACACATGAGATTCCATGATTGGAATGTTAAGTGGTGCATTTGAGTGATTGTCACCAACAAACCTCCTTACCGTTGGTATTTTTTTCCCTCCAGAGTTTAACAAAGATCTATTTGTACATAGCCAACATATCACACAGATGAACCAAAAATATAGCACCCCTCAAATTGTTACAAGTTTGTAGATCATTTGTTCTAAAATATCTTCATAATGTAGGGTCTGCATCCAAAATTGCTTTTCAGAAATTTCACAAAATTTCATATAATCTCTCTTTGGAATCCTTGGAAAATGTACACGCTCTCTCTCTCTCTCTCTCTCTCTCTCTCTCTCTCTCTCTCTCTCTCTCACACACACACACACACACACACACACACAGCACACAAAGCTACTCCACACAGATTGGATTGCTCTGAGAAGGGCCCTTTTGAAACATAGGTACTTACTCATTATCAAAATGACTTGAGAAGGTTTTCCTGAGATCATAACTTAGTAAGTGTCCTTCTAAATTGAAACATTTCCCCCTTGTGATGGAATATTAGCCTCTCACTGTCTACACCATTATCAAATATTCCCGTAGACTCACCTCATACTTTGGCTCTTACTCTCCAGCATAGACCGCCGAGTCACAGACAGCTTGATTTTCTAGGCACAAGAATAAATTATAGATTTTTTGTTCCGATAAATGATAAACTGAAGTTCATCCTAGGAAAATATAAAGGAGATATAAAAATTAGATCTGACGGTACTTCATACAGTGTGGCATGTTGTTCCAGTGTGTTGAGGAAAGAAAATTCTATAAACATATACAAACGAATATTAGTAGAGGAAACACCAATAGGACTAGTTGCAGAGATGGAGTAGGGAAAATGATTGTTTTAGTCAGAGGAATTATTGTGGAAGGAGGCAAGAATAATCTCTCAAACAGCAACCACTACAACAAAAAAGTCCTTGGGGAGCTCAGTTTGCCATGTGCCACTCTGCCCCTGTCACAACTGTGTATGAAGATAGATGAGTGCACAGAATGCTAGAGGTTGCTATTTTTCTTAAGCCATTTCAAGGTGCCTCTCAATTACACATGGCATCAATGAAAAAGCACAAGTTTGAAATAAAATCTCTTCTTTATTGTTTTTTTCACTCATTCTTTAACTTCTTTCCAATAGCACCTTTTACAATTAAAAGCTTTATAGAAAAAGGTTCTTTAAACTGACTGAAAACAACAATAAAGAAGACATCTGAGCACCATAGAAAAAGCTAAAATAATTTCTTCCCAGTCCATAAGATTCCCCGGACAATTTTTTAAATAGAATATTCATCATTCAGAAGGAATACCAAGGAGCAGTAGTTTAAGAAGTCTCTAAATTTGACCTGCTCACAGTTGAATTGCTACTGTGTCAAGAAAAGAATGTTCCACATTGAATTACTGGCAGATATCAATTTATTCATAAAACACCTATTTTCCTGTACAATATGCTTCATTTTATCTTCCCCATTGTACACCATTTTTAAGACGAGATCTCTATAGGTGCCTCTTGAGAAAAAAAAAAAAAAGAAGTTTGCGTCATAGATTTTCATTGAATTTGAAATTAACTTTTTTATGAATTCAAATTAACAAAAAATATAATAGATTTTGTTCTTCAAATAAAGTTACTCTCTAAATAAGAAGTGTGCTATAATATGGTTTCCCTTACCTTTGAATTTGAAAGAATTACTTTATTTTAAATTTCAATGATTTAAAAATATTTAAAAGCAATATGTTCTGTTAAGCTTTGCCTCTAAGTGAAGGTGGAGTTGTTATAATTAACGTGTATCTTCTGTTTCGATATTGGGCCTCTATATTGTTTAACAATCACAGACTAGTGATACATTCCTTCATATTTTTTGTATCAGATATTTCTATGATTTATTGTGCTAGCAAATCATAACAGATCTTATATTCTCTTATATTTATTATCAATTATATAGTAGTAGATTTAAAGTAGATAAATCGCAGAAGTTAACCAAATAACAAAAATTTCTTGGCTACACACAGGGAAAACATCCTAGCATCTATTAAATGGCTACCATAGATTTGGTCAGATAATTGAAGAAGTCACATTCACTCTTTTAATCTTCTCAGCAACTTTCCGGAGTAGGTATCAATAACCACTTTTATGCGGAGGGAAAAAACAAGAGAATATAAATATTGCGTGAGAAGTTACATTACTGATATGTGATAAAATCATTATCCCAGCCCAGTTCTGTTGTTCTCCAAAGACATGTTCCTTCCACAGCTGTACATATTTGCTGCTATGATACTTACTGTCATAAGCCATGGAAAAGAGTGAGCATTCTTTTCTACACAAGAAGCAAGCCCAGAATATAGGTGCCTAGAATAGAGGGCTGCTTTGCAACATGTCTCTGAATGGCTCCTCCTCAGGACCATAGTGTTATCTTCTTTATTCTCTGGTCTGAGATAAACAACAATGAATGACAATGCGTATTTCATGCAAGAAAATAATCCACCTTAGTGCAATAAGAATTTCCTCAAAAACAGGGTATTTCTTTTCAGAAGCCACCTGTTTTTCTGAAAATTTCCAAGCTATAATTTAAAATGATTAAATTGTATCATTAACATACAATACAAAAAAGCACCTGTAAATATCCAATCTCCCAAAGTTCCCCCAATTAATTCCACATCCATGGTTTTACTGTGAACAGCACTTTGATAAAATGTTTTCATAACCTCTAAACAAGCACCATGGGAAATTCTGCTTAAACTAGTTAGAAAGAACAAAATTTCATGGGAACATGAATCTTGAAGTATCGTCTAAATTTTATTCTCATCTGTCCTCGTAGCCTTTATACAGCAAACTGAAAAAAAGAGAGTGAGGCTCAAAGGACCTGTGAGTTAAAGGACAACAGATCTACTTCTCCCTTTCTCCAGGAAGAGGAACTCATTTGATGCCAAAAATAAATGATTTGTACTTATTTGGGTTTCACTTTAGCCTGGATGATCCCTTTCAACACTACAGAGGAAAAGACAACTAGCTATCCTCAAAACTGTTTTTAGTGTCTCAAAGGTTTACTCTGCAGAGCTATTTTTAAACTGGATATTATGCTAAATGAAATTATCACCAGCTAAGTGTACCACTAGCATCCCTAAAGTATCCTGCTTGTCCCACTATAATCACATTATGTCACATCATATGACACATATTGTTGTAACCTGGGCCAGACAAGTTTCTGCAAACCATTAGTATTGTTGTCAAGAGCAGGAGATAATTCTGAATGTTTATTAATGTTACTTATATTCCTCAACAAGGGCATTACAAGAGTACTCTATAGGATGACTCTGATTTCTCCTGCTAAGAGTATCCGAAATTGAAGTTAATAAATGACCAGTGGAAGAGTGATAAGGGAATAAATTGGAATGTGAGAGGTGCTACCAGCACTTTACATTCAACTGGGGCAAGTACAACAGTGGCTTCTAGTGCAGATCACAGCGTGAATATATATTTCAAACTTGACATAACTTTTCCTTAGAGCAAGGCTACTGATTTTCTTGACTGGATTGGTTTGTCTCTCTCTTGTGTGAAGGACAAAGATATGTTCTTCACAGGCCTAGAAAGCTTGAGGATAGTAACAGATAAAAATCTAAAGGGATCACACACAGTGTCAGAGGTTACAACCATTTATCCTCCCCGTCCCAACCCCTCATCTCACTTTGGGGAATCTGGGAATAGTGGAAGATACTCAACAACAAGATCAGGGCTAAGGAAACTTACTCTGAAAAAAGCAAAATGCTGGATTTCTCTGTTGGTTAAGACATGGATATAAGAAGAATGTTTGCACACTGAGGGAAAGAAATAATCCATATTTCAAAGATTTTTAATAAATGTTATCTAAATCAGTTTAAATCAACACAATATGTGGATATTAAATGTATTTTGCAGCAAAGGTAAATAAGCAGCTCTTATCAGATTTTTTTCCTTTAATTGCAGTAAGGCAAATAGTTGAAGAGTTGTACTCCATATCTAATATTCAAGTGATAAACTTAATTATTCTTGAATTTTAAATGTCAGGCTCCTCCAGGAGCTATCAGTGACTTGGTAGCCACATTAAGTTTACACAGCAAATGTCTTACAGAAATTTTTGTAAAAATATTGAAATAAATATAAAGTCATATGATAATAGAAGCCAAAATTATCCACAAAAATTTTGTTGAACTCTTGGGGAAAAATTCTTCTAAAATCGCATAGTTAAGCTGATCAAAAAATGATCAATGTCCAAAGATGACTATGTGATAGCAATATGCTGTTGTTGAGCACTGGCAATAGGACTATTTCACATGGTAATGTTTTCTAAGCGTAAAATATACATCAGGTTTCAGACTTTGAACTAAAATAAGAATGTAAAATATCACATGAATCATTACTCTGGTTTCATGTTTAAGTGGTAATTTTTTATGTTGTGTTAAATACAACATGGTACTAAAATTAATTGCATTTTTCATTTCTTAAAAAGTGGCTAATGGAAAATTTTTAATTACATTGGCTAACATATTTCTAAGAGAGAGTGCTGGTCTAGATCTTTGAACCAATAGTGTAGCTAGAGAGGAATTAGAGAAGAGAAAGCTCCCTCTCACTTCCCGGGAGTCCTAATACCAAAGAAATGAGACCAGGCACCAATGACCCCTTCTCTCATATAAGAGATACATTTTTTGAGGAAGCTAGAATTTGTTCCGTCTTCCATGTCTCTATTACCTATCAATAACTTCCTTTCCGTATCCATTACTGAAACTACGCACATTATCTAGACATGGAACTTAGCCAAGCGGAAAGAGGCCAGGCAATAATGCAATGCAACTTAGCATCTGCTTGGTGATAGGTAAGGACAGAGACAGCGAAGCCCTGAGAATACTGAAGGTGTGTAAGGAACTAAAGTTTTTTTCTAACACATTCTTCAGGAAGGAAATCACCTATTCATATTGAAAATAATATTCAGAGAAAAGAACTAATTTCCTGATGTTAAAGGCATAATAAAATTTTAAATTCATAAAATTAAATTTTCACTAGAGACGATTGTAGATTAAACTTTGTTCCAGTATGTACTCTGAGAAAGTCTAACCTTGCGGTGATATATAGTAAAGCGGATCAAAGTAAATGAACATGTCCTGTCCAATGGTGTCTTGGTCACTTTCTCATCACTGGGACAGAATACCCAACATCTGCAACTTAAAAGAGGATAGATTTATTTTGGCTGTCAGTTTCAGTGGATTTATCCATGATCTGCTAGCTTCACAGCAGGAATGGCATGACAGACATCACAGCAGTCAGCCAGAACAGAGTGAGAGGGCAGGAACCTGCAGGGGAGATACATCTTCAAGGTCACATGCCCAGTGACCTGCCTCTTCCAACCAGGCCCTACCTCCTAGCAGCAATTCAGCAATGCATTAATCCATTAGTGCATATAGTGCCCCTATGATCCAATCTCATTCTACACACATGAGGCTTTGGGGAATATTTTAGATCTAAATCTTAAAAAATGGCCTATCAGTCTTGGCTATATCTTTTCCAATTCAAGAAGCCAATGGAATGCATACATGGAAAACATTAATCTAATTTCATTTTGGAGGAAAAGCATGTCTATTAAGAAGAAATTGTGACGTCTTGTTTCATTGACAAAATATAAAATTAAATGATAAAGAACACTAGCTAAGACAA